CATTTTATTCTCCTCAGCTGTGTGTGCGCGCTCCGCAGGCCTGCGCTCTGCGTGTGTTCAGACGCTCCTTACATCCAGAAAACACAACAGAGCCATATTTCTGTGGATTCAGGTCAGATTCATGACTTTGTGGGTTAAAACTGTCGACTGAAAAACATTGCGATGCTGCCGCACATTCTCACAGCAGGTGAAAAGTGTGTGTATATTTACGCACACTTTCACGCAACATTGGTTTTGATGCAGAATTGATTCTAAACACTTTTTTAACCGTTCCTGAACGCAAAATAACTCCGACTCCTTCCGCAGCTGAGGCGCAGAGGGACAGGAGCCTGTTTTGAAAGTTGAGCTTCAAAAAAAAAAAAAAGAAAATAACGCTTTTTCAACAAATATACAACTCTAATTGTCACCTGGGACTTATAGCTGCAGCACATAAAGCTAAGAAACCGCTACTTAACGCCTAACGTAAGGTGCTGATGTAGTAACGTCATTCATTTTATTAAAATCAAAATAAATTAGTTTAATTCAGACTTGTCCGTGTAAACAACAAACACTCTGCATGGAAATGACAACAATAATTAGCTACATGGTGGCCATGATGTAATTATCTCRTGGCCACGTGATAATTTTTTTAATTCCATGTCACCGGACGGGCTCCGTATATAAGATCTAAACACAAATAACCAAATCCAAGATCCCCACCCACTTGTCAGTCCTTTGGGGGTGGCACTTGGGGTGGCCAATCAGGTGCCAGAGGTGCCACCCCTCTGGCTCCGCCCCTGAACATGAGTGTTCACGGCACCACATCCTGTCTCAGCCCACGTGGGTTCAGGTAGGTTGGCTTTTATCAAAATAAATTCTTCTGTAGAATTTTAGTTTAGTCTGCATGACTGTTGGTCGAATTTATTTTCCTCCAGTGAACCACTGCTGAGGTTTTGATGAGGACCAGAATCCAGGTTCTGGTGGGACTGAATTGGACATTGATCTGAGCACGCAGCTGGCACGCTTCATTTGAGAAGAACCAAACTGTTTGCAGCCAGGAGAGACAATTTATGCCGAAGCACAAACTTTGGATCATAGCAGGAAAAAATACCATCCCAGTACTCTACGGTTTRTTAATTTATTGCTGAAGGGCTCTATTCCCAAAAACACACTTTAAAAACACAGTAAGTAGACCAGAAACAGCACAAATTAGAGCCAAATGTCACTAAATGATTCAGTTTGATTTCTGTGTCCACTCATTTGTGGCCCCAAGTAAGAAAGATGCTAAACTTAGAGGATAAAATTAGAGGAAGTGAGAGGATTTAGTGCAGAGCTTTTGTGCAGCTTCTGTCACAGATCTGAGGTGGCAGTGTTCAGCGCTCGCATGAGTAAACCCACATTCGTTCTGGAGGATGGGAACTTTTTTTTCCCCCAAACCCCTCGTCTGCTTTTAGCGGAACGAGGCTGATGGGCAGAGACAGGGAGAGCGTTTCCACTGTTTGTCCTGCGAGGTGGATCAACACTGAGGAGGCAGATGATGTGTGACAGACAGAGGAGGGAAAAAAAGCAGGATAATTGCTGGAGGATGGCTCGGAGAGAACGGGCGAACAGCGAGGGGTTATTTCCACAAATTATCTAAATGATGAACACAGAGACGCCCCGGCTTCGGGGGGTTAAAAGGTCCAGGGCCGCCACGAATGACTACTCCCACTTTTGTTTAACACGACACAGATTTTTTGGGATTAATCAGCTGAACACTTTGCTTATAATACAAATAATGCAGGGAATGTCTGAGTGCTTACATCTAACTGTAAAAGCTGCTGACTCACTGTTTTATTGAATCACTTCACTTAGAACAGCATTTATCATGAGCTCTGAGTTGTTTTCATAAAATCTTTTTTTAAAAGGTGGCATAAACAAGCTGAAACCAGTTTAAGTCTCTGAAGTGAAGACGTTTATACTTGGTTTAAAAGTGCAAACTTAGCAAACATACAGGTCTTCAAGTTTWTGCAATTTCCTTTATTTGTCTCAATGGAAACTTCTAAAGGAGAGTCAATTAAAGTGCCTGTGACATCACATTTTTGTAATACATATGAATGCATTTTTAGAAAGAGGACATTGATAAAATACTGCAAAAATAAATTTCATGTTCCTGAGATGAACAGTTGTTGAGATATTTGCCTGTGAAGTAACAGGAAGTGATGTCAGAGGGGAATGTCTGCATGTAAACAGTCAACAACCCAGACTGTAGAGAAGAATCGGATGTTTCTTTAGATTATTTTGAGTCTCTATAAGAGAGAGTCAGAGTTCAAATAATTTTGTTTCAATAAACAAAAACCACAGAGTTTTCTTTGTTAGAGAGTTCCCCTTTGATGTCACTTCCTGTTTCACTTAAATTGAGCCAAGTTCAAAAGAAAATCTGCCAGTTATGGGACAAAATGAGTTAAATCATGTGTATTATTTCAACTTTCTTAAATATGAAGATGTTTTCTTTGACTTTTTATATTTGAAGAAAATGCATGTCACAGGCTTTTAAAGTCTAGTTAAAATGTATTTGTTTAATAAATTTTCACTTTTTGGCCAAATACAGGCCATTTTTAACCCATTAGGTCTAAAAGACATGTCTAAATGTCTAAATAAATACACCTCAGACGTCATCATTTTATAATAATTGATGGTCTTAAACTGATGTTTGAATTAATTCAGTTTCCACCTTCAACTGTTTATCTGTAGTCGGGACACAGAGACAACCAGACCCAGACCTCCCCGTCCGTCTCAGTGACCCTCAGACCAGAGAGGACWTCCACCTCCAAAGGGAGGCGTCCTGACCAGATGAACCTCCTCAGCTGACTCCTTTCGATGCAGAGGTCTGAAAGTGAGCCCACCTCTCTGTGAAGAAAGGTTTGGATTCAGGATCTGGTTCTTKGAACCTCGATCCAAACCTGCATGTCTGAACGGGACCGACAAAACTCTGGTCTCGATGACAGCAATGTTAGTCTGAACATATGAATTAGTTATTGTAATGAGTCTGTGTTGCTAAAAATATACCAACATAAGTTTTTTTATTTTGTACCAGTGCATAAAATTCAAATGTTTACCACTGTAACCAACAATCATCAAAACTTTAAAAAGTGGGATATTGTAAAGACAACTAAATAAATCAGATGTTTAAAAAAATGATCAGGATTCTAAAAAAGCTGTTTTATTCAAAAAATGTGTCTCATTTTCTGGTAAATTGTAAATAATAAAGACAATATTTGAGCTAATAATTAAGACGATAATAAACAAATAACCCTGCAGCCAATAAAATAAAACTGAATAAATTCACAATCTTTTCAAATTACTAAATTACTAAACTTACACCATGTTTTTCTTCTGTTTTCACAGAATCAAGATGTTAAACAACCATGAGTATTCAATAATAACAATAATAAAATTACTAATAAAATTATTATATATTATGAAAACAACAGCAGCAACAACAACAACAACAACAACAACAACAACAACAATAATAATAATAATAATAATAATAATAATAATAATAATAATAAAAACAGACTCACCATAAGAGGACAAGTCCAGAGACACAAGAGAAGGAAACTTTTCATGGTCAGTTCTGTGTCTCARCAGGAGAAACCTACAAACCGTTCATTTCAGCTCCACCTAAACGTGTTTTTTATTCTGATTAAATTTTCTGAATTTATTTTAAATTCCATGAATGTGGCAGAAAAGCGCGGGTAAATCCCAGCAGGTGATGTTCTGAGTCCATCCTGGTCTCTTCCTCTGATCTGAGTGAGGAGCAGCTCCAGCAGCTGCTTCCAAACATCAAGGTGGGACAATAGGATMAAGGCACTTCCGGTCCGGGATTTCAAAATAAAAGATCCAAGAAATTAATTTCTCTCAAATAGAAAAAAAAAATCCCACTCAGAACCATTGCGTTTGAATTTATTTAAAGTGATAAAGTTAAACATACGTTGACTGGAATGTTAATTAAACATAAGTAAATTTCTTTGGGATGAAATTTTTATGTTTTTTAATAAAGTTTTGATTTTACCTGTGAAACTTTGAACTAGAATTGTTATTTTATTTTTTTACCTCAATGTAATTGGAGTGTTTTATTGTTTATTATTTTAAGTCACATATTGATTCTGTATTATTTATTGTAATAAGCGTTATAATTTGTGGCAGTCAAGCTTTGTTCTTTGATTTCATATTAAATTAGAAAAAGTTTTTACGGAATATTTAAAAATTTTGGTTGGGAAGTCTTATAGCATAGCACTGAGAGGAAATTTTGAATGAATTATTTGAATTTTGATGGGTTTATCAAGTTAAAAACCTAAATCTGCTCCAATTTCCTAAAGTTTCAGTCTCTTCCCATTGGYAAATTTCAACTGGTTTTTRGTTCACAGAGTCTCTCTAAAGGTCAATTTGACTGTGAGCTGATAAAATATGTYGTGTAATCACAAACGCTCCAGGCTTGAGCGTCTGGAAGTGGAGCAGGACAGAGACRTGCACTCAGAGGAACATTATAAATACTCGGTGTCTCTGTGCGTACATGGTTTCCATCTCGTACAATAAGCTCCTGAACGCTGAGGCGGGAGGAAGAAGTGGCACATATTTACCGTCATCCAGCAGCCCTGCAGCTGCTGCTGGGACGTGCCTCTGAAATGTGCTGGCACCTAAAGTTAAAGCTGTTTTCCAGCAGCTTCAGGTGCTTTATGGTTTGTGTATAAAGTGACGTTAAACACGGAGGGTTGTGTAAGAAAACTCTTAAACACAGAGTACCATCCAGGTCCAAACAGGACAGGGACGGTGCCATCTGGTCTGGTTGGGATTTGTTTTTGAAGCACCAAAGGATGATGGAACAATTAAAACCAGCACCTGCATTCTTCAACTCTTTKGTGTTCTCTGGGCATTTTGGACAGTTGTATTTTTCGTTCACATAAACCCCTTAAATATGTGACAGAACAYTGACGAGTCAAAGCTGTGAAAATAATCATCATCATGTCTCTGGTGTGAGGGATCGAATTTTCTTTACATGAATGTCTGCAGAGGAAGAATATTTAACGACCTCGCTGCTGTCGATTTGCAAATTGCTTTTCTCACCGTTAAACTTGGAAAAAAATGATTCTTCTGTCAGTTGTTTGAGAGAAGAAAAGGTGACAAGAAAATAATGAGTTCCTAAATGCTTCTTATTGCTGCCTAACACTTTTCTTTTCAGTGGCAGAAGTGCTGAAGATTTAGTTCACTTTGTTCTTTGTAGCGACTGATTTTTAAGTTTGTTTCCAGTTATAATAATCTACTTATATCTGTTTGGGTATTTTTGGGTGATTTTTTTTAAACCAAAAGAACAGGGTGACTTATTTTTAAGATAAACATTTTGCTCTGCTGCTGTTTAAGCTAGTTAAAGCTTGTGTCCAAGAGCCATAGTTTTTGCTGGAGCTCAGAGCCCTTATCGAAACTTAAAACAATTGCTTTTGCACTTTATAATTTGAATTTGATGTTTTATAAGTGTGAAGTATTTTATTTTGTTCATTATTTTTGTAATATTGGCTGATTATTATTAGTTCTTAAAGTGTTTAAAGAAGCAAAGTTTTTTAGAGGCATAGCCCTTGCTGAAGCTAAGAGTTTATTAAAAGTAAGAAAAAATGTTTTTACACTTTAAAATTTTATGTTCATGATTGTACATGTGTTGCATTTTTATGATTTTGAGTATTTCTTTGGAAAAAAAGGCTTTTAGATATTAATAAAGTGCTGTTCTGAGAAGTTGCAATTGTTTTTGTMCATTCAAAGAAATGATGTGTTGAATTTATTTAACTAAATCATGTCAAGTGGTTCCACCTAACCCAATTGAGTAAATCTAAAGAGATTTGACAGACTAAACTCAATTAAGATTAACTTAACCATATCAAGTTAGTCTTACTCAATATTCCTGTGTTTTTTAAATGTGTAATCAGTTAGTTCAATAAACTTTGTTGAACGTAGACTTCATACATAAAATGAAAATAACCGTAATAAGTTCAATTAACTTAACTCATTGTTGTCAATATACTTAACTCTTTTGAGTAAATTGTATGAAAACTTGTTAATTACCATCTACTTAAAAAAGGCATGTGGAACCACTTGACATAACATTTTTAAGTAAACCCAGTATTTCTTTTTTTGAGTGTGGATAAAAAGGGGAAAAGAAGTTGATGTCTCTAATAATTGACTTTCTCATAAACTGGCTCCATTAGACTGGGTAAACTGGACAACACATACAAATGGATATTAAAGTACATGTGACATTAAATTTTTGTGATAAATATGAGTGTGTTTTTGTAGAAATAACATTAATAACATATTGCGTAAGACGTTTTACGACGCTGAGATGAACATTTGTTGAGATATTTGCATGTGAAGTAACAGGAAGTGATGTCAAAGGGGAATATCTGTATGTAAACAGAGCGTTGCTACGTTAACCGACAACCCAGACTGTAATGAAGAATATGAAGATTTATTAGATTATTTTGAGTCTCTATCAGAGATGAAGACGTAGTGTTCAAATAGACCAGGGAGCTCTTATTTGTAAAGAGTTCCCCTTTGATGTCACTTCCTGTTTCACTTTGGCTGAGCCAAGTTCAAAAGAAAATAGGCCAGTTATGTGACAAAAAGGAGTAAATTGTATTTTATGCCAAATTTCTTAAATATAAAGTTATTTTCTTTGACTTCTTGTATTTGAAGTATATACATGTCACAGGTACTTTAATACTTAGATTTTATTAATTCTCATAAAATCTTCCCTTTGTGCTGATTGGTTTTTATTCCAGTTGTTTCCCCAAAGTAATTAACTTAACTTAGAATTTTTAATAAATTAAATTTGTTCACAATTATAGGTTATTATTTCTCACACTATTTTTGAAGATGTTCTGAATAATTTATTGATAAGAAAAAACAATTTTTAAAACTTTTGCTGCATATTTCTGGTCACAGATTAATTAATTTAAAATTTATTAATAACACTTTTCTGACATCTAGTGGTCAAATGATGTAATATCTGAAGACCATCCGCTTGTATTTTGTATTTAGTTAAAGAAAAGTGAATAAAGTGCCTTAAAAACACCTTAAACACTAAATTATATCATTTAAGGTTGAGTTTAATTGATTTTTATAATCAACTGTTAAACATGTCTTACATCTAGATGGCAGCATAACAAAACCTCAGTATTCCTAAACCAAGAGTAAAAATACCTTGACAGAAAATGATGTTGGTAAAAATGAAAATCACTGATAAGAAAAGTAATGGGAATTCATAAAACTACTCGCAATAAACATAAGTAAAATAAAGTATATAAAGTAAAAGTTTAGTGTAAAACTTAAAGTAAAGTTTAATGTTTAACTTTGACTACACATAAAACGACACGTTCCTCATGTCGTTGCTGCAGCTGAGCACTGCTAATAAACACTAACWGAGCTCTACCTGGTATTTCCTGCATAGAAACAGTGTTTTAACAAGTCCTCTTATAAACACTGTAAAGTATTACATGTATGACTGACTACATGTGATATTAATAAAACAGAAATATTATTATAAGTAAGAGAGTTTTACTCACTGTTGAGTTGTGGTGAGCTGCCATCTTGAATTCTGAACTCCCACTTTCCGACATGGACTTCCCATGTATAATCAACGTGCATTATGGGAGATGTAGTTCTTCTTCTTTGACGTTTTGGTAGTAGGCAAACAACCAAACTGGTGCATTACTGCCACAGACTGGTAGTGTGGACCAGACTGTCACTCCAGGATTAAATTCTATTATRTTCAAGATAACGAAATATTATCTGATAAATTTTACTTTTTGAGTTATTTTTAAATAAATCAATTAGATTTAGTTTAACTTTAATTCTAATTATGTTTGAAACCAACTGTTGTCTTTCTTCCTCATAATTATTGTCTCATCAACTCCACAGTATTCATGCTTACCACTGCAATGTTTCCCTAAAGAGTGCTGTTTAGCCCAGTATCTAAGACGAGAAATAAATGTTTATTGTCCTTGTCATCCTTGTACTTCTCATTTCTCCTGTCTTCATTTGGATTTTATAGAACCAACGTCCTTTCCTGTCTTTCTCCCATTGCTTTTGCCATTTATCCTTCATTTTCTGTTTAGTTAAAAAATTTCATTCATCTTTTTACTAAAACTACTACTACTTGCATACTTGCGACCTGTCCAGGGTGTCGCTCTGTGACTGCTGGATATGGGCACCAGTGACCCCTGTGACCCTATGGAATAAACGGGTACACTGCAGATAATGGATGCATGGATGGATTTTTACTAAAATTAAACTAAATCCACTAATGAGTTCCTAACAGCCTCCTTCGCTGCCCTATCTGCCATTTTGTTCTCTCTAACACCAACGTCTGAGTATCCATAAAAAGTTAATCATTAAGCCCATCATATTTATCCTGTATAATGTTTGTTGAATTTCTGTAAAAATTTCTGGCCTGCTTTCAGAATGGTTGCATAGTAAAGTGACTGAACTGGAATCTGAACAAATCATTGATCTTGATGATTTTAGTTTCAGCTGACTGCTTAATTCAGCAAACATTCTCTTTCTGCTTCTTATGTGCTAATTTCTTTAAAACCTTTTTTCGGAATTTAAGGTGTTTAGTAGTTGAGAAGAATTTGCAACTTTTTATACTCCTTTTCTTATTTTTCTTCCGATTTCAACTTGTATTTATTTATTTATTTATTTATTTATTTATTTATTTATTTATTTATTTATTTATTGCTAATT